CCCCTCCTCCGGGCCCCGCTGAGCCGCGGGCCGGCGGCTCCCCTCCTTCCCGCCGTCTGCGGGGGGCTGCGACCCCCCCGAGAACAGCTGTCGGGGAGCGCCGCCCCCCCGCCGGAGCTCCGCCGGCCCCCCCCGAGCCGCGGTACCGAGGGCTGAGCGCCGCTCCCGGCCCGTAGCTGAGCGCCCGTGGGGCCGGGCTCGGTGCCGGCGCCCTCCTCGCTGCGCGGTGAGGAGCACGGGGGCGGTGGGGCTGCCGCGACCCCCGTGGGGCTCCGTGCTGGATGTGGGGGTGACCGCCGCTCTGGCCCCGCATCCCAGCCCGCGTGGGGCCGGGGCCGCTCCCGGTGCCCTCCTCGCCTCTGGGTGAAGAGCGGCGGCTGCTCGGAGCCCGCGGCCCTCTGAGATGCCGTGACCCCAACGCTCCGCCGGGAGGGGCTCTGCAGGGTGCGGGGCCGGGGCCGGGCTGCTGCTCTGAGGGCACCTCACAGCTGTCACCACGCCCGTGCCCGCGCTCCCTTCCACGCCCGTGCCCGCGCTCCCTTCCACGCCCGTGCCCGCGCTCCCTCCACGCCCGCCGTTATCTCACTGCTCTCCCATGGAGGGTTCAGCCCCGCACCCCCCCATGCTGTGCGTTCTGGGACGTTGGATCCCCTCCCCCCGTAGGATAGCCCCGTGCCCCCCTGGTTGCGGGGCTGAGCCGCTCCTGACGCTCTCTCTTCCCTCCCGTCCCCGCAGTTTTGCTCGGCTCTCCCTCCGCACCGCGGCGCTCCGCCCTCCCGCATCTCGGTGCGGAGGGGCGCCGTGCGGGAGCGGCTCGACCCCTCCGTCCCCGCGGAGCCCCCCGTGCGTCGGGAGCGCGGCGCTGTGCGTGCGGAGCGCGTCGTGCAGCCGCGGTACGGCGGTGCCGAGCGCCTCCCGGGCGGACCTTCCCCCCGCACGGCCCGTCCGCCGCCCGCGGTTCCTTTGCTTCTAAATCGGGATCCGGCGCCGCAGGTGGGAAGGAACCTGCAGCTCCTCGGCGCTGGGAAGGAGGTCGCCGCATCCTCGGTGCGTGTGGGGGAGGATGGCCGGCACGGCTCTCCTGGCTGCTCTGCTCTGCTCCACTTTCTGCTTCCAGAGTGCCCAGATGCAGCTGTCCTGAGCTGTGCGTGCTGGGTGCCCTCGGCGTGTGCGT